CTGCCGACTTGCCAAATCAGCCAGAACAAACTCAACACGCTCCCGCTCACGGTCGAGTTCCACAAGCTTCTCCAATCGCAGTTAGGACCATTCCCGACCCTACCATACCTACAATGCAGCAGATACTTGGGGCACATGTTGTCGCTCCCTATGAGCCACATGTTCAACCGGTATATGCCGCTGGAGCTCCTACCTTCACTATCCCAGCAGTGGTTAATGTACCATATGATGTCGATCAATATGCAGAAATAGAGAAAGATACCCAGCTGAAAGAAGATGCATCGATAAATTCCCAGCTTCAGGGCCTAAGAAAGGCATTGAAAAGCTTACAAGTTACTAGAGGAACGGAGAGTCTAGATTATGATGACTTGTGCATCTATCCAGACATTGACATGTCGGTAGGGTACAAACCACCGAAGTTTGACATGTTCGATGGAAAAGGTGACCCTCACGCACATTTAAGGGCATACTGTGACAAGTTAGTCGGTGCAGGGAGAAATGAGAAGTTAAGGATGAGGTTGTTCATCCGGAGTCTGTCAGGAAAAGCATTGACCTGGTATATGTTCTAGGACCCTCGAAAATGGCGTGATTGGCAGGAAATGACTGAGGACTTCATGAATCGCTTCAGATTCAATACTAAAATTGCTGCTGACAGATTCTCATTGACCAACATACAGAAGAAGCCATCAGAGAATTTCCAAGAGTAAGCACGACATTGGAGAACCGAAGCCACAAGGGTGCAACCACCACTAGATGAGAGTGATCTCTCGAAGTACTTTATTCAAGCTCAAGAAGGTGTCTACTTTGACAAAATGATGTCAATAATGGGGCAGAAGTTTGCAGAACTGGTCAAGATGGGAGACTTCATAGAAGAAGGTGTCAAATATGGGAAGATTCAGTCTATGGTCGCATTGCAACCTACAAGTAGGGCCATACAATCGAGTTCCATTGGTGGTATCAAAAAGAAAAGGGAGGATATTTCAGTTGTCACTTACCAACAATGAGGATCGTCCCATCAATACCCCAGTAATCCCCAAATCGTTGTGCATACTTCATACATCCCATACCCAGTATATAATACCCAACCACACTATAATCCACCCCGAGCACCAGCATACCAAAATCCTCCAAGATTATATGTCCTTGTCCAAGCACCAATCCACCAAAATAGACCAGCATATGAACCGAGGCAACATCCAAATCTTGAAGCTATAAATGCTCACACTTACACACCGATTGCCAAACCCTACGCCCAATTGTTTGAGAGTTTGAGGATAGCGGGAGTGCTGCAACCAATTTTGATGGAAACAAGTGATGCGCTTACCACTCGGGAATCCAAACAGACGACACAGAAGATTGTTAAGGTTTGAAGAACCAGATCGAGTCTTTGATCACAAGAGGAGTAATCAAATGCACTACAGCGCCTCCCAATGTGAACAACAACCCCTTGCCAAACCATGAGAATCGGGAAGTCAACATGGTTACTCTAGATGAAGAATATGGGGGGCTTGATTGTCCAGACATAGATGAACTAGATGCCATGACATCTTTGGCGCAACCTGTTATCACTGTTCAACTAAGGGAACCTCTGACTGTTCAAACATATCTCATGAGAGTTGTAGTGACCACTCTAATCACTAGAAAGCCTGAATATGACACCAAAGCAGTCCCATGGGACTATTGAGTGCCCGCCAAGGGAAATATGATCGACACTGTCGTGGCTCAAGGGATGACTAGGTCGGGGAGGTGTTATTCCCCAGAGGATCTAAATCATAGAGCTCTTGGAAAAGAATAGAATCCAAAGAAGAATGTTACTGATGTTGAAGCTGTGGGATTTTGGAAGAAGATGCAGCCTAAAGACTATTCAGTCGAAGAGCAGCTGAAGAAGACACATGCCCACATATCTATTTTGCCTTTACTAATGAGTTCTGAAGCTCATAGGAATGCTTTAATGGAAGTATTGAACAGAGTAAATGTTCCAAAAGAGACCACAACTGAAACCTTAGCTTCAACGATTGGAAGAATAGTGGAAGCTAATAAGATTTCTTTCCATGATGATGAGTTGCTTGCAGAAGGGGCTAGGCACAACAAAGTGCTTCAATGTTGTGATAAGATTGTGACTCGAGTTCTAATTGATGGTGGTTCTGGATGTAACATATGTCCTTTCACCACTTTGAGGGATTTAGGTGTTAATATGGGAGAGATGAGGGAAAGTCGTGTGAAAGTTAGAGCTTTTGATAAATCGCAAATAAATGTCATTGAAGAGATCTATCTCACATTGCAGGTGGGGCCGGCTGAATTCTCCATCCTATTTCAAGTGATAGATGTATCATCCAACTACAACTTGTTGCTAGGAAGACCATGGGTTCACATGGCAAGAGCAGTTCCTTCCATTCTTCACCAATGTGTAAAAATTTAGTAGGGTCGCACTACAGTTACCATCCACGGAGAGCTCAGTCACCCCATCCTTTCTGTTAATTATATCCCAGTCGCTGACGAGTTAGACGGAGCCACCTTTCACACTTTGGAAATTATGCAAGCTATAAGGGTCGGTGAGGAAGCAGAGACAGGTAATACAAAGTTGTCAAGTGCAGTGAAAATGGTTGCGTCAGAGATATTAAAGTATGGATATCAGCCTAAGAATGGACTTGGACCTAAGTCTAATGGCATAGTTGAGCCGATCTAGCTGAAGCATCGGAGAGGCACCAACGGACTCAGATATGAGTCTGCCTCGGGAAGAGACTGTCATGGGTCAAGCGATACAATCTTTGTACCAGAACAAGCTTTGATTCTAGATCAAACTGGCATTGATGACATCGTAGAAGGAATAGGCAATTTGTTCGTGGCCATGGCTGGAGAAGAGAAAGAGATAAGTCTCAACAAGTTGACCATTCATGATGCCGAACCTGGAGAAATCTTGTAGAATTTGACCATCTGCCTATCCTTGTTTCAACCAGAGTCCTGGTAGTGTGGAAAAGTAGTCTTAATTTTAAAATTCTCATGATCAAATTGAGGCTTGAATCAAGCCTAATCTTTTGTTGCTTGCCTCTTCTAAAAACTAGAATGCTTTGAAATAAAAAGTCTTTATTTTTCTGTAAAAAGTTTCTCTTTATTTTAAATATCTATTTATTTTTACTTACCTTTTGCACTTTTCAGCGCTCATATTAATAAAAATCTTCGTTCAACGGTTGTGACGTGTAACAAATCTACCGAGCAAGGTGAAAGTGATGAACAAGATCACGAAGAGTATGATAAGAGCATGATGCCTGAAAATCTACCACATGAGATTGAACAAGTTGAAAGTCAGAAGAAACGCAATATGGATGAAACAGAGGTGGTCAACTTAGGAAATGAGGATATCGTTAAGGAAACACAAGTCAGCATACATTTGGAGGTTGAAAGAAAACAAGAGTTAATAGAGTTGCTTAAGCAGTACATCGGCGTATTTGCTTGGCCTTATGATGACATGCCAGGATTAAGCACTGATATTTTCTCACACAAATTACCAACTGATCCCATTTGTCTACCCATTAAGCAAAAGACAAGAAAATTCAAGCTATATTTGAGTTTAAGGATCAAGGAGGAGGTAACTAAGAAAATTGAAGTGAACGTTATGAGGGTTACAATTTACCCCACATAGTTAGCCAATATTGTGCATGTGCCAAACAAGAATGGAAAGATCAGAATATGTGTGGACTATCGAGATCTCAACAGAGCAAGTCCTAAGGATGACTTCCCTCTTCCAAATATTCATATAATCATAGATAATTGTGCAAAACATGAGTTGCAATCATTTGTCTATTGCTTTGCAGGATATCACCAAATCCTGATGGATGAAGATGATGCAGAAAAGACAGCATTTATCACTCCATGGGGAGTGTATTGCTACAGGGTAATGCCATTTGGTATAAAAAATGTCGGTGCAACCTACATGAGGGCCATGGCTACACTTTTTCACAACATGATCCACAAGGAAATTGAAGTGTACGTGGATGATGTCGTTATCAAATCCAAAAGAAGTTCAGACCACTTGGATGACTTACGAAAGTTCTTTGAGAGGTTGCGTTAGTATAATCTGAAGTTGAATCCAACAAAGTATGTATTTGGAGTACCTGCGGGAAAACTATTGGGATTCATCGTTAGCAAGAAAGGCATAGAGTTGGATCCATCAATGATAAAGGCAATCCAAGATACCTCCACCCAAGACTAGGAAGGATGTGATGAGTTTCTTGGGAATACTGAATTACATCAGTCGCTTCATAGTTCAATCCATAGTGATCTGTGAACCTATATTCAAATTACTGAAGAAGGATGATGCCACGAAATGGACAGAGGAATGCCAAAAGGCTTTCGATAGAATCAAATAATACTTGTCCAACCCACCAGTATTGGTCCCACCAGAGCCTGGAAAGCCTTTGTTATTGTATCTATCTGTTATGGATAATGCATTTGGATGTGTATTAAGGAAGCATGATGAGACAGGTAGAAGAGAGCAAGTTATTTACTATTTGAGTAAGAAGTTCACACCATACGAGGCAAGATACACCTTGTTGGAACGAACATGTTGCGCTTTGACTTGGATTGCGCAAAAAATTAGGCATTACCTGTCTGCATACACCACGTACTTGATCTTAAGAATTGATCCACTCAAGTACATCTCTCAGAAACCAATGTCTACAAGTAAGCTGGCAAAGTGGCAAATTTTGTTGAGCGAGTTTGATATCGTGTATGTGACACAGAAGGCCATCAAAGGACAAGCCCTGGCTGATCACCTCACAGAAAACCCGGTGGACCAGGATTACAAGACACTCATGACCTACTTCCATGATGAAGAGGTTTTGTTTGTAGGAGAAGACATATCAGAGTCGTATGATGGATGGAGGATGTTCTTTGATGGAGCATCAAACTCTATTGGAGTTGGAATAAGAGCAGTCTTCATTTCGGAAACAGGTTAGCATTACCCAATCTCACCTAAGATTAGGTTCTACTGTACCAATAACATGGTGGAATATGAAGCTTGTATTCTCGGACTTAGGATGGCCATCAACATGAACATTAAAGAACTTTTGGTGATAGGAGATTCTGATTTATTGGTTCATCAGGTGCAAGGAGAATGGACCACTAAGAATGTCAAGATCCTGCCTTATTTGCATTACATTAAAGAGTTGAGTAGGAGATTCACAAGGATTGAGTTCAAGCATGTCCCTCGAGCTCAAAATGAGTTTGCCGATGCTTTGGCAACTTTGTCCTCGATGATTCAACACCCAGACAAGAATTACATCAACCCTATCGATATAGAGATACATGATCAACATGCATACTGTTTTCATGTAGATGAGGAACTGGATGGAAAACCCTGGTACTATGACATCAAAAGATTGATAGAAGCACAAGAATATCCTGAAGATGCCACAAGTAAGCAGAAACAGACTTTGAGAAGGATGTCCAATCATTTCTTCCTTAATGGAGAAATCATATATAGGAGAACTTCAGATTTAGGATTGTTGAGGTGTGTCGACGCCGCAGAAGCGACAAGGATTTTGGAAGAAATACATGCAGGAACATGTGGACCTCACATGAATGGGTTCACTTTGGCAAAGAAGATTTTAAGAGCTGGATATTTTTGGATGACCATGGAGAGAGACAGCATCTGGTATGTGCAAAAGTGTCATCAATGTCAAGTGCATGGATATTTTATACGGGTTCCACCGAATGAGCTCAATGCGATGGGTTCCCCTTGGCCATTTGCCGCTTGGGGCATGGATGTTATTGGACCCATAGAGCCTCCCGCATCAAATGCACATCGTTTCATTCTGGTGGCTATCGATTATTTCACAAAATGGGTTGAAGATTCGACATACAAGGCAGTGACAAAGAAGGTGGTAGCAGACTTTGTTCGCAACAATCTAGTTTGTCGGTTTGGAATTCCAGAATCAATCATAACAGATAATGCAGCCAACCTCAACAACGATCTTATGAGGGAAACTTATGAAAGGTTCAAGATTGCTCATCGAAATTCCACAGTTTACCGGCCACAGATGAATAGAGCAATTGAGGCTGCAAATAAGAATATCAAGAAGATTTTAAGGAAAATAGTGGACAGTAACAGGCAATGACATGAGAAGCTACCATATGTTTTACTCGGTTATTGCACCATAATCAGAACATCAACTGGGGTAACTCCTTATATGTTGGTTTATGGTTCGGAGGCAGTAATACCTGTCGAGGTAGAAATACCATCTTTAAGGATTATCCAAGAGGTTGGTCTGGACGATGCAAAATGGATACGTAGCAAGCATGAACAACTTATGCTCAATGATGAAAAGAGGATGGACGCGGTTTGTCATGGACAACTCTATCAGAACAGAATGACCAAAGCATTCAACAAGAAAGTCAAACCTCGACAGTTCACACTAAGGCAATTAGTATTGAAGAAGATCTTTTCTCACCAAGAAGAAGTCAAAGGGAAATTTGCACCAAATTGGCCCCTACATGGTTCATAGAGTACTCTCTAGAGAAACTGTAATCTTAGCAGAAATGGACGGCAGAGTGAGCACAAAGCCAATCAATTCAGACGCCATCAAGATATACTACATCTGAAGACTTTAAGATTAGCGCTTATTTATGGTACTTTTGCATTTGTGATGTAACACAACTACGTCTAGACTTGACTTCCCACGACGGGGTACGTAGGAAACCCATATCGGATCCAATCTTCCTTAGAAAATCCAAAATCATCATTTCCATGTATTTAGAACTATGCTTGACCTAAATTCCCTCGGTGGGATACGTAGGCAATCCTTGTCAAATTCGGTCCCTTACATTTTTGTTTTTTCAATTGTATTTGAACTACGTCCTGACCTAATTCCTCTCGAATACGTAGGCAGCCTGAGTCAGGCCCGATCATTCCATTTTATATTTTCCCCTTTTCATATTGTATTTGAACTACATCCTGACCTGATTCCGCTTGGATACGTAGGCAGCCTAAGTTAGGCTCGATCATTGCATTACATGTTTCTTACTTTTCCTCATATTTTTCACTTTCCTTTAGTATTTGAACTATGTCCTGACCTGATTCCGTTTGGATACGTAGGTAGTCTGAGTCAGGCTTGGTCATTGCACTACGTGTTTCTTACTTTTCCTTCATATTTTTCACTTTTCTATTGTATCTGAACTACGTTATGACCTGATTTCGCTTGGATACGTAGGCAGCCTGAGTCAGGCCCGGTCATTCCATTGCATATTTTTCACTTTCTATTGTATTGAACTACGTTACGACCTGATTCCACTTGGATAAGTAGGCAGCTTGTGTCAAGCTCGGTCATTGCATTACATACTTCTATTTCTCCCACTTGTATTCAAACTACGTTACGATTTGATTCCTATTTTGGGGATACGTAGGTAGCATGAGTCAGGCTCGATCAATGCACTGCATAATTTCCATTTTTTTCTCACCCTTAGGAAGCACTTCATCATAGTTAGTGTAACCTCATAATATGAAGAATCTCGATCGTCGCAGTGTCTGCAAAAGAGCTAGAGAAGCTTCATCAGGAGGGTAAAAGCTACAAGAAGACTATTTGGATATAGTCAACAGAATGGAAAACTCGATCAACTTCGGAACATGTCATAACCTAAAAACAAATGATAAAGAATTACTATATATATGCATACCTAATATATACATAGTATACTTATTTTCTAGAAAAACAATCTAATTATTTTCAAAAGATTTTTTTTCTACTCTTCCACCTACCAAGTCTCTAGGTTAAGAAACTATGTGCAGGCTAAGAAAATTTCGAGGGATTCTAGTGACGAGGCTTCAGTCCGCGAGTTGATACAAATCAACACCCCCCCTCCCAAACTAAAAAAAATTCTTTGAGCGCAGGAACACAAGAATCAAGAAAATAACATCAAGTCTCGGGGCACGACCGGAGGCGCCATTCGACTTCTACAATCATGAGCCAAAATACTCTTTCCCTACTTTATTTCCTGAATGTACTTCAACTTGCATCTTATATCTAAGAACATTTCATTTTTTGTAGGGCACGCTCAAGATCCAGACCAATTACTGAAGAGAGGGACCCCTCGTAGGAAAATAAGATAGTTAGCTTTCTGTCAAAAATAACTCCACCTACTGGAGCTTGTAATGTAACCTCATCAATAACTCCACCGATCAGAGGCTGTACATAGCAAACATCGTCGAACTCTGCCAACCGGAGGCTGTACATAGAAAACATCGATCGAATTCCGCCGATCGGAGCCTGTACATAAGCAAAAGAAGCAACACTCCGCCAATCGGAGACTAACATTGTAGCGATGGCACCGAAGCTCCACCGCTCGGGGGCATGCAAGCATAGCGACGTTGTCATACGCTAACCATAATATGTTACATTACAAGCTTTACACAGTTGGATACAGGCTTTTACATTACAACAGCCCCGCCAAGTGGAGGTCCACATTACAAGTTTTACACAGCCGGATACAGGCTTTTACATTACAACGGCCCCGCCAGTCGAGGGCCTTTACATTACAAGTTACTTTACCTACATCACATTCACAACACAAAAAAAGGGACATCAACAATTGTTTGAACATCTACACTCTACTCTTTACATTACAATTTCAATTCATAATTTTTTGAACCGCAATAGGTACTTTTCACCTTTTTACATGTTTTGCAAGACAACGCATTTCAACGAGGAACTCCCTCTAAGCAGCAAACTAGGGAAAGTCAGTGCAATGTCAAGCATCACTAGCTACGTCAAGGATTCACTTTCAAAACTTAACTCGACTCGATCTTCAAAAATTCAGATTTAAATTTCACTTATAGATCTTTCATGTCTCAGTTCATTATAACTCAAAATTGGGGAAGTCTTTTTGAAAATTCATCTCTCTACCATGAGTCTTTAGTAGAAACTGCTACGAGACATTTCTCATTCGAGTTTCTTTAGAACTATCCCATCCCTCTATTCGTGCCAATCTCTTCATACCTCACCACCAAAAAAAAAATCAGTATCACCATAATTCGACACTGGGCAAATTTTAATCAAAATTTGCTATGCTCCTACACTCTCGAATTACATATGGCCTGATTTCTCATGAAACCTGAGATATGTAGGCAACTCAGAATCCAGAGTTCGGCCATAACTCCATAAACATTCCTTTCCAAGTTTTGCTCAAGGTGTATTTTGGTGGGTCGCCTAAAATTGGATTGTGTCAGTATTTCTTTGTCCACGTCTTCTTTACTCTCTTCCATGGACAAAGAAAGGGGCAAGTTGTTGACACCCAATTTTGGCTCTCCACATTTATTTAACTAAAATAATAATAATAATAATAATAATAATAGAATATATATATATATATATATATATATATATATATATATATATATATATGTTATGAAATTTTTGTAGGAGTACGAAAAAGATTTTTAATTATTTATTTTATTTGGTAAATTTATTTCATAAATACTATTTTTGATATTAAAAAAATTAAATATATTATATAAATATTACTACTTACTTTCTCATTTTTAAATTTCACGTCAAACAAATATTTTTTCTTAAGGGTTAACTCGATTTTTCTAATTAAATATAATTTCTATTATTGCGATAAATATTTTTCAACATTTTTTTAAAAAGTTAGGAAAGCTTAATTAATTAATAAGTTACTAATTTATATTAATTTTATTTGTAGAATGACTAATTTTATCAAATAAGCTAGTCTTGCAAAATAATTGTTTTTAATTTAATAAATTATGGTTATTTAATAAAGAAGGGTTATAATTTAAATGGACTTAATTTGAGAAAAATTTGGCAATCCAATTTATTTTAATTCAGCCAATTTGCACGTGCCACATAAGAAGCACTTGGATTGTGCTTCTTCAGATTCGATCACAACCGTCCGATTTAATCTAAGGGCCAATTTAATTCAACATTTTTCTATATTATTTATTTAACTCTTGATTAATTTTTGACCGTCCGATCAAACGATCAGACGGCCCAAAATAACCAAAGACCTTTCTTCTCCTAAATAGACTCTACCACCGCCCCTACGCTTTTCTTTTCCCAGAATCAGCCGCCCACGCCGCTTCCTCTTCCCCAAAACAACGCCTCAAGCTCCTCTCCCACCTTCTTCCTCAGAACATCTTCTCTATAGACCTAGGCTCCTCTCCCATCACTTCTTCCTCTGACCCTACACTAGCATCACCGCCCATGGCCTCCCCCACGTGATCCCCCATCTCCCTGTCAGAAAATCGGCTCTGCGTCGCCCAAAAATGCCCCAACAGTCACTCAACACTCTCAAATTGACCTGAAAAGGTCGATTCTTGAGAGATTTTTCTTCCTCTTCATGATTACTTTGTCGTTTCCTCTAAGATTTTTGTTTCCAAGAATTCAAATTTTGAATTATTGGAGCCCCTAATTGACTATAAAATGAGGACTTCGGTCCTCATTCAAAGATCATCCATCAACGTCCAAAAACAATCCAGGAACGAGCAAGAAAATCCAATAATCAATTGAGAATCACAAAATATCTTGGCTTAGTTTCTTTTACTTCTATGCTTTTTCGTTTGGCTTCGAGTTTGAGTTGAGGTTAGAATCTTGACAAAACGTTCCTAGTTTGCTGCTCAACACAAGGTAAAAATTCTTCTTCTCACTTATTTTATCATCTTGTTGTCATATGGTTCAGTCCTTTGAAGAAACGATTGGATGTCCTCTGTTTTCTGATATTCATCTCTTGTTTCTCTGAGAGTTTGGGATAACGAATGATATGTTTCCCTCTTGATCCCATTTGTTTTAGCATTTGGTCGTTTTTTTTGTAACCTAAGATAATGGTCTGTGCAAATTTCTTTATTTTTAGCACATAATCTGATTTGCTTCATGTCATTCATACTGGTATGTGTTACATTCAACTAATAAAAAATTGTAATTGACTTTCATGAGGCAAAAATTCCCAATTCGACATAATCAAGTGCCAAGATGATTAAAGTTCATATTGGAGTTTATACTTATCTCATCTAAACCATGTAAAAGTTTTTCTTTACATTTTTGTTGTTCTTGCACATTCTTGTTGAGTTGTTGTACTGTTGTGTAGTAATCCTAAATCAAGGTGTTTGTTTTCTTTCTTTTTTTTCTCTAAGTAAGAATACGAATGCATTCGCTGGCAGTTTCTCGTCTCTCGTATTAATTTCGCTTTTGTAGGTTCCAGCTTCCCACTCCATGTTGTAATCAATGTGTCCCGCCTCTTGATTCTTGGTTGTTCGTGTATTCTTGGTCTTAATTTTCTGAAGTAGTTTAAAAAGGTTTAGAAGTACATCTACCATATCGAGTGTTCAGTTCATGATTTGTTTTTCTTCCCTTGAATATTTTTAGCAAAAGAGGTAAAGTTTTGGAGCAAAATTTGGTTTACTATCAACATATAACTTCTCTGTTTGCAATCTTTTTATTGTGTTAATATTGTTATGCCTCAAACTTCCCATCTTATTGTGAGTTAATGTGCTGAT